TGTCGGACACAAAGCCTACTCGCGACTGGGTGTGACAGTGACAATCCTCTTCCCCTTGCAACGAAGAAATGACCCAGCGCTGTACCGACGCTGTCACACTGCAGCAAGGCCGTCTTCGGCGACGGAATCCTTTGTCCCGACTCCCCCTCCTCTTAAATAACCTCTCTCTCTCTCTCTCTCTCTCTCTCTCTCTCTCTGTGTGTGTGCTGTCTCTTATACACATCTAGATGTGTATAAGAGACAGATCATGAACAAGGCGCGGACTCCAGCAACAAAGGAACAAATAAACGGTAGTCATCAGAATACAAAAGATTAGACCGAAGACACAATGAAAGACACAATGACAAAGGTACAGCCCATGACAGAGAATGTAACCTTCTCTTAAATTAAATGCACGTGGTACAGAGAGCGTCCAAATGCATCTAGAGTATTGTGTGGTGGGGCCCACTTAAGGCCTCGCCACACCTCACTACCAGAATGCGCAAAATGGGCCATGCATTTTCGGCAAAAACAAAGAAAGATACACCCCGTTTTGCCTTTTTCACATTCTATGAGGGGTGTAGCAATGCGCTCAATATGCTCCTCCTTCATTCTTGGCTGTTGTTTGATCTTGGTAGTCTAAGGACAGGAACTGGGACCTCAGGTGAGTGGGACTTGGGCCTGGGCCTGGTACCTTCGTTAAACGTTTTTTTTTTTTTTTTTTTTTTTTTTTCTTAGTTAAACTAAGTGTACTAGGGAACCGTTATCACCGGATTCTCCGCCTCATGAGCAATCATCATCAATCATCATCAACCATGAACCAGATTAATTTTTTTCTTTGTTTTTCAAATACGAACCAGATTGAAGGAATACTGACTCTAGGACTTATTTTTTTGGGGTAACTTCGGCGCAGTCACGAAAACAGTTTGTAATTGCACTTCAGGCAATCCCGCGAATACAACACACCCCCACGCGACCCCACCGGATCCAAAACGTAGGTCATATGCATTCAGCATTACCGGCCCTTTTGCCTCAAGTGCAATTACAAACTCAAACCCTGACTGCGCCGTAGTTTTCTCTATTTTTTTTNGAGAGAGAGAGAGAGAGAGAGAGAGAGAGAGAGAGAGAGAGAGAGAGAGAATCTACATATCCCTCCCGATCCATCTTACACCAGGGGTGAGGTCCCACTAGGAATCTGGTCGTGTTTTAAACACAGATGCGGGAGAGCAGTTCAATTCTGCTTCTTTCCACAAACAAGTCCAGATTCATGTGCTCAATCCAATCCTCTTTGCTAGTGGGACCTCGCCCCAGGGCTTTTGAACCTGAGCTCGCCGCACAACTCTCGAAACCAAAAAAAAGTCGGACTGCATCTCCCGCCCAACGTGGGAAGATGCATCCGTTACTATTCGTAGTAACGGATGCATCTTGCCGCTCTTAGGGGGAAGATGCACGAGTACTATTTTCGTTTCAGCAGTGGTGTGGCGAGGCCCTTTGCTGGGTCTATTGGATCGGAGTCACGGCGGCAATCCTGTCCTGGTCTAGACCAGATCAATACTGTTCTTATATTGCAATTATTCCCGAAAATATATATATATATATATTACCGGGCAGTTCTATTTGACGATATATATATATATTGCAATTATTGGGCCTCGCTCCACGACAACTCAACCAAATGTGCAAATTGAGAGTGAATCTTCCGCTAGAATATGGAAAGATTTACCGCCAGGGCTGGGCAATTTACGCGCCTGCTGCCTGCCTGGGGGATGCGGTAGCCATGTCTCAGGCCCTGACTGCCCCGGAGGGGCAAGTCCCACTTTTTTTTTTTTTTTTTTTTTTTTTATTTAAATGCGGAGTTTTCCATCCGCTAATTACAAATTTCTAGAGATTTATCACTCTCTGAGATGTACGTTGCAAGTCCCACTTAGGGCCTCGCCGCACCACTCTCGAAATGTGAAAAAGACAAAAATGTGGCGCGTGCATCCGGTCATGTTCTAGCGGGAAGTTCATTCTCATTTTGCACATTTCGAGAGACTCAGTTACGTGGCAAGTCCCACCTAGCCGAATTCACGATATCTGACCGTAGATTACGAACATCGTCATTCGCCCAGAAACGAARTATTAAAAAAAAAAAAAAAAAAAAAAAAAAGGTATGGGCCGGGCCAAGTGGGACTTGTTGAGTAAACACTTACGGCATACTCACACTGGTACTTTACTAAATGCATGTGACTTCAATTACGACCGTACTTGACTGTATTTGACCGCGATTACGTCCAGAAATAAGTAAAAAAAATGGCAGTGTGAGTATGCCCTTACTTAGACAAAGTAGATCATCCAGAATGCATACGACATTTGCCTACTTACAGATGTCATTGAGCGCTTATCATTAAACCGGCACAGCAGAAGTCAAGACCATGCCATCAAACAGCAAGCTAAAGACATTCCATGCCATTTGGGTGAGCAAGGAGCAGACGAAGAACTTCAAGACGAGAAAAAAATGAAAAAGAGAAAAAAAAGAGATGAAAGAAGAAGAAGAAGAAGAAGAAGAAGAAGAGAAAAGAGGAGAGAAACCCACGCAGTGTTGAATAAAGGTTTCCCGAAGGCGACGTTGGGTCGAAAAAAATTACAGCAATGAAGTTTGGACTTGGCCCCCGCCTCTGAGGTCACACTCATACTAGGACCTTTTGTTCTAGTAAGCTGTGGACGCAATCGAAGCCAGATTCATCTGGGTCTCTCCGTGATTGCGGTCAGATACATTTTGAAAAGTCCTCGTGTGAGTATGCCCTGAGGATACCAGAAGTTACATCAATAGCGAGCGGTCAGGTTTGGTTTGCAAAATTCGAAATTTCGCCGCCAAGCCGAGTTTTTTTCTTTTCTTTTTTTTTTTTTTTTTTTTCTTTTTTTTTTTTTTTTTTTTTTTTTCCGCCAAGTCGAGTTGGAATGCGCCTGGATGTTAACTTCCGCACGTGCATGCTCAGCACCTGCACGTGCTCAGACAGAGGCGACTTCTGAGCTGCAAAAATAGATTTTTATTTTTATTTCTATTTTTATTTTTATTTTTATTTTTATTTTTATTTTTTTTAGCTGCCTCCGGCTCATCGGGAAACAGCCTTAGAAGTCGCTTTTTTTTTTTATATATATATATTTTTTAACCAAAACGAGTGATTCATTTCAAAGCCAAGGACAGGGGCCCGGGAATACACCCCACATAGCAACCCGGTACATCAACATGCTCGGGCCAATACCCAGCTGTAGGCTCCTGGAAATCGGGTCCAGTGTCCCATTACTTTCAAAAGGAAAAAGAAAAAATTAAGTCATAAAGGAAAATAGGTGCCTCCCCACTAGGTTTATCAAACTAAATGCTCCTTCCAGTCCAAATTGGTATTACAACACTATCAGCACCAAATCAGGTCTTACACATTTGTTCCCAATGAACCAAGAATCTAAAAGCCTTGAAATCAGATAAGGACCAGATCAGCACCCTCTCAGCATCTGTAATGCTGTCTGATTAGATTGTATTTCAAGGTCTGACTGGCCGGTGATCCCATAGAAGCTTTGAGTAGATCAGTCGCATTTTCAACCCCCTTATTGGTGCAGTCCCCTGGGAGGGAAAACTCGTCCTTTTCTATGAGGACGATGAAAGAGGCGGAGTCATTAGAGGAGGCCGTTCCAAGGGCGCGACTGGGCGTCGCCATACCATTATCGAAATGTGACAAAGACAAAAATTGTAAATTTGGCGGGTGCATCTGGCCATGTTCTTGCGGGAAGTTCATTCTCATTTTGGACATTTCGGCAGTGGTGTGTCGCCACACCACACCACTCACTAAATGTGAAACAGACAAAAGTGCAGACGCCCTTAGAAGACGCATTTTCAAGCCCCCTATTGGAGCAGGCCCTTGCGAGGGAAAACTCGTCCTTTTCTATGAGCACGATGAAAGAGGCTGAGGGTGGCACCCCACAGGAAAAAGGATGGAAAAACAGGTCGGCCACAAAAAACAGAAGACCCCTGATGAGACTGGCACGGCGGCCAGTTGAAACCGGTAGGGTCCTTGCGCCGTTTAGACCAGCAGTCGGCATGATCGATGTTTTTAAACTCTGGTCAAGTCGCGTTCGGGTTTTTTTACTTACCGTGTGTCATTCTGCCATCTATCTTTCTTTCTTCTTCTTCTTCTTCTTCTTCCTCTTCTTCTTCTTCTCCTTCTTCTTCCTCTTCTTCTTCTTCTTCTTCTTCTTCTTCTTCTTTTTAAGTGTGTCTGATTCTCGTTGTTGAGTAACACATACACAATAAACGGGCAAAGAATTCTGTAAAGATGGAAAGTAGGTGGTGGATTTTTTTTATTTTTATTTTTTATTTTTATTTTTTTTTAACCATGAGAAACTTCAATTGAGGCCGGGGACCTCACAATTCACGGCCTCGCCACACCACTCTTGAAAACTCTTTTAGCCTCTTCACACTTGGGCAGTCAAGCGCTGTCAGAGTCACTGTGGCCCTTGAAACCCTTTCAAGAGCATCTCTCGAAAGATTGGAGCCTGCAACTGGTGCGATTTCAAGCATCCTTGGCCGAACCCTTGAGGGAGTACCTAGTTTCAACAGTTGTCACCATGCGAAAAAAAACAAAGCTGTATAACTGTCGTTTGTCATCCTGTGTCCAATGGCATGGCCATTTCGGGAGTGCTGTGTGGTGAGGGGCCGAAAACTCTTGAAAACCCTACTCTTAAGAAAGTCTGACAGCTCTTGACATATTTCCCCGTTTCAAGAGTGGTGTGGTGAGGCCCTCAACCTGGAGTTATCCCGGCAGCCT